CCTGTCCCGCGCTGCAGCTCCTGCCACCGTGCGGAGCGGCACGACAGAGCGGACCTCGGCAAGCGACGGCGCGCTTCCACGCCGCGAGACAGTGCCTGTAGGGAGGGCTGAGGAGGTGGTCTGAGACCTGCACCTCTGGGGACAGGTTTGGGCTGGTCGGTACAGAAGGGGGGATTTTCGTTAACTGCTGTCGTGACCTTCAGCACAAAGCCAGGGTCTGGGCTGCAGCGTTCATTCGTCACCCCAAACAGCAGATTCGTTCTGGGGCTTCAGTCTCCTGCGCTGCTGGTTTAGCTGTCGGGCGGGCTGTTTTTTCAGCCCAAGGTGGAGGAGCCTGCGGAAGAAGCGCAACAGAGCAGGCCCAGGAAGGTCTAAAGTCATTAGCATTTCAGGCTAATCACTGCGGCTGTCAGCGAGAACTATTTTAGGAAACAATATCTGCTCTTTAATCTCCAAAATGCAGTTAATGAGCAGCGGGTGAATCTGCCCCCTGTGGTGAATTGCCTCCGGGAGATGCTGCTCTGCCCTTGGAGTTTGCTTTCCCGTACCTCAAGCAAAGGGCCGAGTCCCGTGCACAGGCCGGGTCCGTCTGCCCAGAGCAGCTCGTCTGCAGCAGCTGCTGCTACAAGATGGGGAATAGACCCAAACCACGGGGAGACCAGAGAGTATTCTGTGTGTAAGGCCCCTGAGAAGCTGACAGCACGTGGCCATCCCGCCCTGGCTGTGGCGCGGAGCGGTCAGAGTTCAGAGAGCGAAACCCCTGACTCCGTTGGTGAGCTCTAACAGTGCTGTCACCTCGCGTGGCAGCTCTGCGCTCTCCGTTCCCAGGAGCTGCTTAGGGAGGTTTCAGCGTAGGGACGGTTGTGCTGCCGGCCACCCCCCTCCCATGGGAGTCCTCCCGCCACCCACCTTTGGAAAAGGGGGTCTGGGCCCGGCCCTGGCTGATGGGGGGTATCTCCGGGCGCGGGCTCGCCAGCCCCAGCACGGGGCTGCTCCAGAAGCCGGGGGCAGAGCACCCCGAGGGGTTTCCCACCCCGGAATGGCCT